CTCCTATATTCAAAAATGTAAATAGTGCTTTGGGCCAATAACCAATTACTTCATTATCCACTTTAAGTGCCCAATTTCCACTAAAACCATCCTAAATATATTTGAAGAAAACAAAAAATGAATTAGTTGTTTTAAAATAAAAATAACCAACTATAAATCCTTAAAAATGATACTAGAAAAGGAAATTTACCTGAAAAATTTGGATTTTAAACATAATGCTTGTTTTACCATAGATAGATGAGTTCGAAAATTCCTTTCCAATTATTGAGTTTTGACTAACAACAACAAAACCAGGACACTGAGTATTGTAACATCCTGTTTTTCGAAAATCATCTCTCTGGAAAATGAAAAAAAGAGTAATACATATATATTAAAAAAAATTGTTACGTAAATAAAAATAGCAAAGCAATATTCTAAGCTACTTGTTGTTTATATATGAACAAGAATAACTAAATAATATTAATATTAAAAATTACTGACAGTCCAATATATTGTAAATCGTGTGACGTTGTCACCATATAAACTTGGATGCACCTACAATAAAATTAGAAGATACAAATGTTTATATAAATTTATGTGTTTATTTTTATGAGTTATGTGTTAATAAGTAGCAAAAAATTGATTGTATAAACTTACCGCCCAACCAGCTTGTATACTGTTGCGTTGACCTATAGATCCATTCTCTAACCATATTTGACTCTTACTATATTGATGATCTAGCAAATTTAAACTATGAATACTTATGCTAGCTTCAGCTCCTCGATAAATGGTGGTTCCATCTAACATGGTCTCAATTGTTGCAAACTGTAAATTTCATAAATATATTAGTCCAATTTTTAACTGTATTTTTGCATGATAACAACTGAAACAAATTGCATACAAAAAATGATTTAATTTGTAGCTTCTTGAAATTAATTAGAAAGAGAAAATCTTACATGTTGTCCGAAACGCTGAACTGTGTTCACATAAAAGTTTTGAGGTCCATTTTTCTCTCTGAAAATTGGAACAGTTGCTTTTGGACAATGACCTTCTATTTTATATTTGTTGCTTTTTTCAACATTCTCATATGAGCTGGAGAACGTTTCCTATGATATCACAATTCACAAGTAACAAAAGAAAAATAAGATTCGTATAAAAAGTCTAATGTAATATATATAAATATACACTACTTTACCTGAATCTTATGATTTTTCAACAGTGGATGTTGAAAAGCCGGTTGTTTATATATCCCAACACATTCAAATTCCTATAAAAATTGTTCAAACCAAAAATATAGAAAAGTTATAACATTAGGAATGAAATATTTTAAAGATAGAACAAACAAGTAAAAGTGAGGCTCACATTAATACTTCCTTCGGCACCTTGTGTGAATACCAGATAAACACATAGCCATAACGCTAGATACAATGCCATTCATAAATTTATCTTAATTCTCTCTAATTATGATATTTGTGATACTTTTCAGTACCTTATATAGTTATATATAAACAACTTAGAGTCAACCACTATTGAAATTACTGCCATTAATATTTCTCGTGTTTTTATAATTTTACCAAAATATTATATACACATATTTTCTGGTCAACATCTTCAGTTAATAATACACTAAAAAGAAATATTTAAAACTAATTTTACTAATTTTGAAAGACTTCACAAATTCAAATTACATATAGCTTTGAGCCTATAACAAATAAAGTATTTTAACAATTTCTCAATTGATTTCTGCTTTCAGCTCTTTCAAGCTTTTGTTATAAAGCTGATAATTTTATTGTAATAAAATCTGATAAAATTTTAGAGAAAATTTTATTCAAGAGAAAACATAATATAGCATGAATATTTGATTCTCGACATCATAGAAATGGTGCCATATGTATAATAAAATTATTTACTACTATTGCTACAATATGTATTCTTTCTATGTTTGAGGCAATATTTCTAAACGGGACTTATAAATTTTAGCATTCAATCGGGGTAGGTGACGAAACTCAAGCAACGGCCCGATTCCGAGTATAGGAAGATGTCCTTGTGAGTTGTGACAGAACTACAGAAGTACCAAAAAATAAGAGAATGTTGGTTAGAAAACATTTCGTGGAAGAATATTGTAAATGCTCAAATATTGACATGTATACTTTCCAAAAAAACATTACTAATAATTAATAACTAGGTCCATGAGACCCTGATGATCTTCGAAATATCAGCATGTATATATCTTGAATCAAGCTTTTACTCATATCACAAAAGCCAACATCAAAATCTAGTTTGGTAGAGAAACCCAAATGATTTTTTTTGTTTTGGTAGAGAAACCCAAATGATGATCTTAAAGTTTTTTCTTTAGTCGATCTTTGTCCTCAAAAACTGGAGTAGAGGAGCATCAATCACAACGATAAATTCAAACTGTATTAGATCAATGTCCACGCATACGCGCGGGTTTTTCTATTGTTATAGTTTTAAAAAATACTATAAAACAAATTATAAATTTTTGACTTTTATTTTGAAATGATATGTAATATTATAAATTCGAAATAAATAAACTCCATAATTTAATTTCAACTTATTTGTTTAGCAATTGACTTTCAAATATATATTTTTGCATCAAACAATCCGTCCTCTCAACTCTATGTGTTTACTCATTGTTACATAGAATATATTTTAATTCCCTTCATCGCTTTTCGCTGGATCGGTTCTCCGTATATTATGATAATTTATATATTAAATAATAACTTAAAATTGAAGCCGAAGAGTAACCATTTTGGAATAATTAAGTAGTTTCCGTTATTACTAAAAGTGACTTATTAGCTTCACACATAAATAGTTTGTATTTTGTAACTCATTATCATCTTCTTTTGTGTCCATATATTCAAAATATGGAGATGATTGTTTCTTTTTCATATATATATATATGATTTAATAGTGAGTTAAGTTGGAACTAAAACATAATAATTTTAAAGTAATAAACTAATTATACTAAACTAATATATTTAGCAAAGAAATAAAATTTATAGTTATTAATTGAAAGGAAAATAAAAATTCATGTCATGTGTCAATCATAAGAGTGTCCACATGTCACATATATGGAGAAAGTTGGCTTCTTTTCATATATGATTTAAACGACGTGACGTAAGACATCATTATATTCCTGTATACTTATATGTGGTTGAATATACTTATATGTGTTTTCAGAGATTATCTTAACTACAATCCCTCGATTTTGATATGTACATATATTTAGCCATATTATATTCTTATTTGTCTTTTGAAACTTCTAATGCTTTCATTTCAATATTTAGTCGTATGATTTTCTTGTGTTCTTGCTCTTTACTTCTTTTCGAAAAAATTTGGACCAATATTACATAAATTAATCATATTTTGAAAACTAACTTCTTTTAAAAAAAATTGAAAAACTAATTTTTCTAATCTTCAAAATTACTAAAACACCATCAATTTTTCTAGATATTAAAATTGTTTTAAAATTCGTTTATTTTTTATTTTTTAATTATTCAAATTGATCTTTTTTATGTATTCTAAACAATTATTTTATTTTATATAAAAAATAGAAGAAAAAAATCTGCAGGGTGAGATATACCCATAAAATCTGAATAAAACATACAAAAAAACAAAAAGATATTTAGAACATCTTTTTTTAAAAATTTAATTTATTTCATAAATATAGTAATCATAGTAACATTTACTCTACAAAAGTAGCAAAGGTACATACTAATGATATTTATGTGTATATATTTATAGAGTTTGATTCATATTTATGATTAACATAAATATATTTTGAAAATAACATGTGTATATCCAAATGTAAAAATTTATTAAAAATATCAAAATTATGTTTCGAAAATCTCTCATATATATCTAAATTCAATATATATTATCTATATTTTAATTAATTAAGAAATTCCTTTTTCTCATTGTTAATTTTAAAAACTGATAATGATTTTATTGTCTTTTCACTTGTTAAAAAAGTATTTTTCAGAGTTTTTAAAACTAGGGTTAGTTTTCAAATTACAAAATATTTTAGGAATATTAAACCAACTGAGAAGTAGTTGTTTGAATTATCTCGAGCATCAAATTTTGGTTGGTTAGATTTATAAATTTTATTTATATATTATACAAGGCTACAAGCCTACAAGCAAAAGAGATATTTTAGCAATTAAAAAAGTTGATTAGTTGTGTAAACTGTAAAGTGAGGTAATCCAATGAAAAAAGAATCCTTAAAAATGGGCTAATATAAATCTCAATGCATGAGTAGCGCCACGTTGCCGCTTCTGTTCGGTGACATCCTCTCACTACCCCCCACTCTCCTTCTTTCTCTCTCTCCATCTCCATCTCTCTTGGATTCTCTCAGATTCCATGGAAGCTCCAAAAAGCTGATTCGTGGAGCAAATTTTCTTCACTCTCAGATTCGGATCCGTGATACAACAGCACGCGTCTCCGATCCGTTTCTTAATCCGATTCGATTCTTTGTCAGAGCTCTGAGAATACCAGGATTCGACAGATCCTTGATTTGATTGGATTTTTTTCGTTCCTCTTCGAGTCGATTCGAGAAGATACCTGTTAGTTTTCTTCTCTCTACTTTGATCCGTTTCGTTATTCGAAATTTGATGAATCGAATTGTTTGGAAATTTGGATTTAGATCGCTTTACCTGACGGATTGTTTTCGCCAATTGATCATGATTCGCTGATTGAATTCTTTCATCTTACTCGCTGAATACGCAGGATCTATCTCAACTTTTGTTTAACGTATCGTAGGGATACAAGATCTGTATTCATTTATCTTCATCTTAACTCATTTGTAGACGATGATCGTGTTTTTGTATCCTCAATATCCTCAAATCTAATCAAATCTTTTGAAGGATGTTAGATGTATCTTAGCTTCATGATTTTAGGAAATCATATATTTTGGGATACAAACTAATGAGAGATAATTTTTTTTTTTCTTTTCTACACAGCTCCTGCATTGGAGAAACTGATTATAAGGTAAGACCTGCCTGATGGTATGCACCAGTTTCATTAGGAGTGTCATTGTTCAGGCTGGTCATTTTGGGGTGTTGGCTCAAGGAAGACAGCAGTTAAGTCATATTAAGAAGACCTTTAGTGTTGGTTTCGGATTCAGAACGAGTGCAAAGATGATGGTCGATGCTTCTGCAGGAGAGAAACGTGTATCGTTAGTTGATATGCCGCCTGAGAAAGTTGATGATGCTGGTTACATCGGTGGTGGGTGGAAAAAGTGAGTAGATCTCATTTGTTACATCCCTTATTCTTTTTTTTAATGGTTGAACTGAGTGTAGCAAACGCCTAGGTTATATTCAAAAACGTTGAAATATGACTTGTACTGAAGTTAGCAATATCTGTTTTAGTTGTTTCACTTGTCACATGTTATACAGATGATTATATCATGGAACAGATTGATTTGCGCTATACGTTGAAGCTTGGTATTGTTATGTAGGCAATGTGTAGCCGTTTGTGACTTTGGAAAAATGTAATAGTATTGTGTTCTACTCTTTTAGTTTGTTTTTTTAAGTAAGTTCTTAATCAAAGTTCTTTCAATAACAGTGACGATGGGAGCTTGAGCTGTGGGTACTGTAGTTTCAGAGGGAAAAGGTCTACGATGGAAGACTTCTATGATATCAAAGCTTCCAAGATTGACGGCCAAACAGTTTGCATGTTTGGAATATTTGATGGTTAGGTTCTAATTCTATGTTTTGCATTTCTTTTGTTCTGGCATAAAACTATAGATGAAAAGGAAGTGGTAGGCGTGAATTGTGGAAGATATTTGATCTGTGTTGAAGTCTGTTTTTCAACTTGCCATAGCATAATTGTATCTATCTGGCTGAGTTAATCACAGTCCAGCTTCATTTGCTGATTTTAATTTTTTGTTCCACTTAGGCCTCACCAATTATATGTATACTATTTTCAAGAAAGATCTCGAATTGCCTTAGTTAGAGTCCGTATTTGGACCTATTAACTGGTGCGTCTGGGTTTTATAGCAGACCGTTTAGGTAAAAGTCTGCAGTGCACAGTCGTACAATCAGTATGCATTCATCTAATAGTCATAAGCAGAATCATATGTTGCTGAACAAATTTAGTTTTCCTTCTCTAATATTTGAGCTTTAATTATCACAGGTCATGGTGGCTCACGTGCTGCTGAGTACCTGAAGGAACACCTCTTTGACAATCTTATGAAGCATCCACAATTTTTGACAGACACCAAGCTGGCACTAAGTACGTTCTATGGCTCGCATAAAATTTTGTTATAATCTCAAAAATTCGACCTCGTACTACTGCTTGATACAAGTGATGGTCACCTTCTAACTTGACCAACTTTGCAGGTGAAACATATAAACAAACTGATGTAGCGTTCCTTGAGTCAGAAAAGGATACTTACAGAGATGATGGCTCCACAGCATCTACTGCTGTGTTGGTGGGGAACCATTTGTATGTTGCAAATGTTGGAGACTCAAGGACTATAGTTTCTAAATCTGGGAAAGGTCAGTATTTCGTCTGTCATCAAAAACAATGTGGCAGGATCATTTAAAGATGAAAAAATTGAGAGCTTCAGCCAAAAATGAGCTTAGGAAATGAATCATGAATTTCCTTAGAGAACATTTAAGTTAATAAGTTAAAGGATTCTTATGATTGGTCACGTGCCTTTGTTGTTTTGTTTTCATTCAACCACCCTTTTCAAATATACTGTTTTACATGTTCTTCAGCGATCGCGCTATCCGATGACCATAAGCCAAATAGAAGCGATGAAAGAAAGCGAATTGAAAGCGCTGGTGGTGTTATCATGTGGGCAGGTAATCTTATATGATTAGAAATCGTCCCTCTCTAGTGTCCTCCTAATTGCTTGCTAGCGTCTGAATATGACAAAGCCAGATTGCAGAAATTTCCCTTAGTTATGTTCATCTGGATTTCTTTGTCAGCCTAGGAGTAAAGTAATATCATCTGGATTTGGCTTTGCAGGAACATGGAGGGTAGGTGGGGTATTGGCAATGTCCCGAGCCTTTGGAAACAGAATGCTGAAGCAATTCGTTGTTGCCGAACCAGAGATACAAGTAACCGCTTCTAACTGCACCTAACTGCTATCTCTTGAGAGTGTTACGTTGGGTGTTGATGTTTTGTGAACACATTCTCCACTACTTATTTTGCAGGATCTGGAGATAGATAACGAGGCTGAGTTTCTTGTGCTTGCAAGTGACGGTTTATGGGATGTGGTACCAAATGAGGTATTGACTCACAGATAAACACCTCCCTTTGTATATGATTCCAAACTGTGAGTGAATTTTGAAACATTTTGGGTCGGATTCAGGATGCGGTATCTCTTGTTCGGAGTGAGGAGGAGCCCGAGGTAGCTGCCCGCAAGTTAACCGACACTGCCTTCGCCCGTGGCAGCGCAGACAACATTACGTGCATTGTTGTTAAACTCGGCCATGAGCCTCCCAAAGCCGTACCAAACCCCGAGCCTGAACTAGAACCCGAATCTGAACCCAAGCCCAACGATGAACCGGAGACCGAAACATGCCCCAAAGCTGAACCGGAACCAAAACCCGAAGCTGTGTCCGACCCGAAACCTGAGACCGAATCAGAGACCAAGGGTGAGAAAGCAAGTGAGTAAGGTAGAGCTTGGGAGGTGTCCATATTGTTGGGGCATCATGTGCAAACGGATGAATATAAAATTCGTTTAGTAGTTGTGTGCTTTGTGGGTGCCTGTAACGTGTGAGGATTTGTGTTTTGGTCTTGGCCCTGGAGGACGAGAATGACGCTTTTGACCTGTCCTCGATTTTTGTCTATTCATTTTGCTCCTAAAAAAACATCATTTGTTCTGTTTCTCCCACTTCTTCCTATCTTATTATCATCCAATAAACAATGTTTTGTAATTCTTTCTCGTTCTTCTCTGCATTCTTGTAGATAAGACAATTCTAATAGCCAATAATACAGTATCTATGGAGACCAATCTGATCTCGATGAGGAGAGGAGAGGAGAGGAGTTGCTCATCAGCGCCTTGACCGAGTATTCATTGTGAAAAGAGAGAAGAATGAACACAACTTTTCGTTCAAATTCTCTTACCCGGTCGGCTTCAAACACATTGTCAGTTTCAAAACTAATTTCGTAAACTATTTTGAATAGAAACATGAGCAAATATTTTGAAACTCTAGCGATTTTATTGGTAAATTAGTAAACAATAAAGTAAACAAATCTTCGAAAATCAATGTGGATACATCTGATTGGATGAATTTTAAAACATTTTCTCTTTTAGAATTTCTCTTTATGCTAAAAGAAGTTGTACATATCAACATGTGTTATACATGGTATGCATATGATTCTCACCGGTTGGTGGTTCCATGAATATAAATTATAGATGGTAATTTTTCAAAATGACTCTTGACTTTTCATCGCGACTTTCACTGAAAGGTTGTTATCAAAATTTGATATAGTTACAAATAAATTGGTGCCTCTACGCAGAGTTATTAGATGTTTCCTTTTTTGTAATAAAAGTTGTTAGATTCTCATTTATTTGGATGACTAGTGCAATAACTATCTTATAGCAAGGGTACTTGTAATTAGTAGAACATACTAATGATCCATCCTATATTTTTTCATGCTTAACCACCTAGAATTTTGAATCTAGGTTAAACCGTAACCATGGTTGACTTCCTAAAAATTATGTCGTATAAAAATGTGTTTTTTATACATGTATATATGACTTTCAATATCAACCAAAGTTTTATCTTTATCGTAAAATATACAATGTTAAATAGTTATATATTCAGCATACTGTTTTCTTCGAAATGGGACTAGAATCTCTTTTAGAACTACTTAAAACAAGATTGTATTCTAACCTTTGCATATTTGAAAACGTAGAAACCAAAGCTAAACATGAGTAAATCGAAGAAAATGTATTGTCGACAACACATGTTAGTTTTAATACAAGAAAGTTCATCACAATTTTAGAGAAATTTTCAGAAAGTGATATATTAATATTATGGTGTAGTAATTCTGATTTATTAAGTTTAAACTGTTTTAACTTGGATTTGGATGTTAAAATATTCATATGCGAATTGTAGATGATAAAATAAGTGAATTTTTATTTTTTAAAAGTAATTATCTAGAATTTTCGATCTATATTAAAATATAACCGTGATTAAATAACTATCGTTTAAACAACCATAATCAAATAACTATGATTATATAACTTCGGTTAAGTAACCATAGTTACATGACTACGGTTAAGTAATCATGGTTAATTAACTATGGGTAACTAACCATGATTAATAAAATATGGATAGTGAGTTAATTTTATTTTCAATTTTAATAAAAATAATAATTTAATGAAATTTTGAGACCCATATATTCTTGGAGTTTCCTAATAAAAAAATTCTCTGAATGTATATATACTTGAGGTGTTCTTAACAAAAAGAAAAATCTGAGTAGGGTTTGTAAAAGGGTATCTGAAAAATAAGTCTCTTTGTAGTAAAAAAAAAGTTTGCTTGATTCAAAAAATATTCTTATCCTCGGAGGGAGTAGCGATCTAACGATTGGTATGTTTCCTCCTACTTTCATGGATTCTTCTTCTTCTTCTTCTTCTTCTTCTTCTTCTTCTTCTCCTTCTCTCTATCATTTTGTACCCTTCTCGCTTTCCGCTTGTTTACAGAAAATAGATTCTAGGGATTTTGAATTCGCAGTAATGGATTAGGGTTTTCAATACGTATCACACCCTGTAATGGTGAAATTTGGGCAGTTGATTTGTACCATTTATCTGTAGATCCATTTGAATTTTGCAGTTTTTGAACTGGCTCGAACTTTCGCGGGTCTCGGAGATGGTTTGATGTATCGCTTTTGATTTGAATGTGGATTAGTTTTTTTTGGGTTCGAAATGATTAGGAAATGTAAATGTCTGCTGGGAATTTTGTTGAATTTGATTGTACACTTTCGTGGGTTGGTGAGTTGTGGTTGTGGGTTCTCTTGTTGTTAAGAGTTTGAAGATCTGTGATCGTAGAATTGAGTTTTGGGTTACTAGATTGTATGTTTGTTCTCCATCATTGCTAAAATGTTGTTAGATTTTGAGGGTCTTCTTTTAGGATTCTCTTGTTGTTGGAGTTTGAAGATCTGTGATCGTAGTTGAGTTTTGGGTTATTGGATTGTATATTTGTACTCCATCATTAAAATGCTCTTAGAACTTGCTCTTACTTAGTGTCTAGATGTTTGATTGCATTAGATTTCCAAGAACATTCGTTTACGTTTCTCTTGTTGTTGGAGTTTGAAGATCTGTGATCGTAGTTGAGTTTTAGGTTGATGGATTGTATATTTGTTCTCCATCATTGCTAAAATGTTGTTAGATTTTGAGGGTCTTCATTAAAGTCTTGCTCTTACTTAGTGTCTAAGATGTTTGATTGCATTTGATTACCAAGAACATTCTTTTAGGTTTCTCTTGTTGTTTAAGAGTTTGAAGATCTGTGATCTTAGTTGAGTTTATTTCATTGTATCTATCCTCCATCATTGCTGAAATGTTGTTAGATTTTGAGGGTCTTCATTTATATCTGGCTCTTACTTAATGCTTAAGATGTTTGATTGCATTAGATTTCCAAGAACATTCTTCTAGATTTCTCTTGTTATTGAGAGTTTGAAGATCTGTGATCGTAGTTGAGTTTATTGCATTGTATCTATCCTCCATCATTGCTGAAATGTTATTAGATTTTGAGGGTCTTCATTTATATCTGGCTCTTACTTAGTGTTTAAGATGTTTGATCGCACTAGATTCTCAAGATCATTCTCCTATGAGCTTGTGTATCCCTGTTATAAACTTTGAATCGCCACGTGAAAGTTTGTATATGGCTTAGATATGGTAATTTCATAGTTTATGGCCAAGGATTGCTTCACTTTCTTTTCTGTTAAATTCATTGTTATGGTAGGATGATCGAACCGGGTTTAATTTATTCGACCGGATAAATTTGATTCTCTTGTCCTAGTGATTTGCATTTGTGGTTCTACCTAACTAGATAAGATTTGCATCTATTTCAAATCATGGGACATTTTTTTTGCCATTCTGTAGCCAGTCAAACATTCCTTCATACATAGAAAAAAATCTAACATTTCCGGAATGTTGAGATATGAGGGACATGTGTGTGTAATCCTGTATGTTCATCAGACAACTTGTGCTTCTGTAAACATTCCACTGAATCTAAACTTATTTGTTTCTCCTTTGATTTTTCCATTTGGACAGGTTCAAAACGCTCTTGAGGATTCTGTTGAAGATCCTCTATTCTGAAAAGTCTCCAGAGGAAACAAATCCTAAAAGAGTAGCTCTCGAGGAGATGGAATGCAACAAGGATGAAGCGAGAAGGGCAATGGATATTGCTGAGAGGAAGGTTACAGCAAAAGACTACAACGGGGCGAGAAAGTTCGCTAACAAGGCTCAAACCTTGTATCCCCAACTGGAAGGTCTGAAGCAATTGATGATGACGGTTGATGTTTACATCTCAGGAGAGAAACAGATCGGTGGAGAAGCTGATTGGTATGGTATCCTTGGTGTAGATCCATACGCTGATGATGAAGCAGTGAGAAAGCAGTACCGGAAATTAGCTCTCATGCTCCATCCGGATAAAAACAAGTGTACAGGCGCAGAAGGTGCTTTCAAGCTGGTTTCAGAGGCTTGGAGTTTGCTATCTGACAAGTCTAGGAGATTTTCATATAACCTGAAGAGGCAGGTTGGAGAAGCTCCACAGAGATTCACAACAACGCAGACCGGGGCTCCACCTCCACCAAGCTCTAACGGGTTTCAAAATGCAAGAAACCCTGTGAGTTCGAATGCTAGGCCTAAAACTAAGCCTGCTGCACGTATGGATAGATCTAGATCCCGCGTGGATCCCCCTGCTCCTGCTGCTCCGGTTAAGGAGAGTTGTACCTTCTGGACGATGTGCAACAGATGCACGACGCAGTATGAGTACCTGAGGGTTTATCTTAACCAGACCTTGCTTTGTCCAAACTGTCAGGAGGGTTTCATTGCAGCTGAGAAGAATCCGCCTGCAACTGTTTTGAGGCCAGTCGACCTCTCATCTAGCCAAAAGCACCGGAGCTCCAAAAATCAAGCCGCACACAAAAACACTTCTTCTGGGAGAGAGCATGCACCATCTGCTAGCCGTGGTTTTCAGTGGGAGTCTTTGTCAAGAATGGCTAACAGCGGAAATGTCACAAACCAAGCTCCGAATTCAGTTCAGCAAGCAAAAGATAATCTGAAAAGAGGGTTTGGGGAGTCACAAGAAAGGGATGCTTCCAGAGGATTCACAAACTCTGATCTGAGGAATTTCAAGAAGCCGAGGACTGACGATTCCCATCTCTTTGGTCCAAGTAAGTCCAGTAATCCTGCCAAAGGATATACTGAAACGCCAACCACCATGGGCTCTCGTCATCCTAATATACAAAGAATGTTGTTGCCTTGTGATATCAAGAAAGCGCTTATGAACAAGGCACAGTCAGATATATCTAAGAGACTTCCGAAGATGATCTCTGACATGGCAGAGGACGTGAAAGCAGTTGAGAGGGAGAAGAAAAGTATGAAAGCAACGAGCAAGGCGAATGAGGTTGAAAGGAATGGTGGTCCGGTCAATGTTTCCAGTGATTCAGATGAAGAGAAGGTTGTTAAAGTGACCGCAATCACTGTTCCTGATTCAGATTTTCACAACTTTGATCTTGGCCGCTCTGAAAATTCCTTCCGAGAGGACGAGATTTGGGCTGCTTATGACGATGACGATGGTATGCCTCGGTTCTACGCCCGCATCCAAAAGGTGGTTTCTCTGAATCCCTTTAAACTGAGAATCAGCTGGCTCAATACCAAAACCTGCAGAGAGTTTGGTGATCTAGACTGGACAAGGTCTGGTTTTGCAAAATCGTGTGGGGAGTTCAGAGTTGGGAAATACGAACCAACAGATGCACTAAACGCCTTTTCTCACAAAGTCGATTTCACCAAAGGTGCGAGAGGACTCCTTTACATTCTTCCCAAGAAGGGACAAGTCTGGGCTCTGTATCGAAACTGGTCTGCTGAGTGGGACAAAGAAACCACACCTGGTGAAGTTATACACAAGTACGACATGGTGGAAGTTCTTGATAACTATACCGACGACAAGCAAGATGTAACCGTGGCTCTCTTACTCAAAGCCGAAGGGTTCAGGGCAGTTTTCCGGAGAAGCACAGAGCAGAACGATGTGAGGAAGATCACAAAGGAGGAGATGTTCAGATTCTCCCACCAAGTGCCTCACTACATTCTCACAGGGAAAGAAGCTGATAACGCACCAGAGGGCTTTATGGAACTAGACCCGGCTGCAACACCTTGTGAACTACTTTCAGAGAACGACGAGGTTAAAGAGTCATCAAAAATGGATGTTGAGGAAAGTGCTCCAAAGGAAGAAATGGGTATGGATCTAGATTAGTGGGGGTTTAGCAAATCAGTACAGTGTACAATTTGGAGGAAGAATCATATCATCTCATATGGAATTCATTAGGGGACAGGACTAATCAGGTCTGATCTTTTGTTTTATCTTTTCTTTTTTTTTTTACATTTCTTCTCTAAAAAGCTGACCCAAATAGCTCAAGTCTAGTATTGGCCATTTTGTTGGCACAAGGAACTATCTATACCGGAAAAATTTAGCCGAGTATTTTCAAATTTTTTGGGGATCAATGTATAATCTTTTTGGTATTTTGGTATCTTACTCAGACAGAACCGTGTAAGAACTCAATTTCAGATATCTGAATATATATGGTGGTTATGGGTTTAAGCATTCTTGTGAATCTCCTTGACATGTAGTGATATGATGTTTGGTTGTTGTGATGGTCAAACGGACCGGTCTGTTTTGAACCCAACCCGTTTAAGCTTGGACCGATTTGGTCCTGGTTTTACAATTTGAGCCCAGCCTATTTAACTTTGACTTCAAATTGGTGGTGACTTGGGGTTAACAAGATACTGAATTTTTGAAGTCAATTCACTCAAATCCGACTTGTCCACACATCTCCATTTGAAATACGTTTGCTTACTTTTGCGTTTATACATCTTATATATTTTAAAAAGAAATTCACATCTTTCAACATTTTAAGCAAAACAAATTGTTAAATGTTAACGTGAATTCCAAACGTAAACAAGTATTCATCGTTCTGTTTGTTTTCACTTTACGTTTTGCATAAATTTTACAAAAACAAACTTCAAAATATTACGAACAAAGTTATGATTCGTATTATTGCAAACTGAATTTTGTTCTTCATGGCAAATGCATATTGTAGAAACTGCAATTAAAACATTCGAAGTCTTAGAAACTGTAGTGATATTTTTTACTCATGTGCTAGATTGATGAGTCTCACATCATCTCTTCTCATGTATGTATGAATAAGGAACAAAGTTGGAGAAGTGTGTGATTTTGATTCATATATAAGCCATTGATGGTGTTCACGTATATTTAGTTAGCTAAATGGTCAAATGAAGATAGATGCAAGTAGCAACACACATGATCCTCGCTTCGCTCTTTATAATCCATTTTTTATTTCTTCCACACCTTTGTTTTGGGTCCACTTTTTTTTCTTCTTTTAATTAGCTTTGTTTGGATAATGAATAATCGTCGTTTTCATACTATTTATGCTAATATCGACGCATGAAGTGAATCTAAACATTCCCACTCTACAAAGGTGATTGTCCTTTTACATCCAATCAATATGGACTTACTATTTATGAGACAATTACTTTTTTTTTTTTTGGAACCAAAGCTTCTTTGAGACAATTACTTCTTGTCCTTAATATAAGATATTTAAGGCTTTCGAGTGATAGCGGTCAAAGATGTGATTTGGTTGGTTTGAATTTACAAATGAAAGGAGGAGTAAAAAAATAGTATGTCTAAACCGAAAGGATTAAAGAAATCTAAGTAATTCCAATATTAAAAGTAGTAAAACACACAATAGTTTCTACAGAATTCTGTAATAAGACTCTGGCTAAAACTGACTTTGTTGAATCCAGTTAGATTAATAAAAAGAATAATGTAAAAGAGGATTTGCATCATTTGATTTTTTATTCAAATGCTGGTTCAACGATTGAAGACTTAAAAAAACGTAGACGAAGAAATCTCTAGAAAAAAATTGAAAATTTCCTTTTACAACAAAAATAAAAGAAATCTCTAGAAAACGTGAATGTAATATATGCAATCTCTAGAAAACGTTACTTTAAAGCGTTTTATCCATACCGTGGAGTGTGGACCCCAACCTTGTCTTATATTACGACAATCGATTTGTATGAGATTTTTCTTTTCTTTTGTCAATATCATCCAATGTCAAATACTTTGTAGTTACAAAAAAAGGTTCAAATAAGTAGATAAACATCTTAATTGTGGTAGTTAGTTAAATAAATGACTGACGAAAAGTAAGGAGTGATGATATGATAATTTGCCAATATTTTTTAGAGAGAAACCGAGCCAGAACATCAAAGCTCCACTGAATAATCGAGGAATGACTACTAGCAATAACAATATCATCAATTTAGATGACTGTGTGTACATGAATAATCCTCTTTGATGCATAATAAAGAGAGACGCATATAAACAAGCCTTATTGCAAAAGAATTGGTAAGCATCATAGATTCGTAGGGATTGAAGTTGTTCATATTGCTCTAATCAATGAGTATGATAGTGTGGATTTGCTGTTTGGTTGCCATGGCGGCTAAAGTGTGCTGTAAACCAAAAAAATGTAGATGAAGGCACGCGACATTAAAAGAGGTTGGGATTTTAAAAGGAATTTGAGTTTGATGAAAAATTGTTATGCTCTATAGATTTTTGTGGAAAGTATATTTGCTGAAGAGAAGAAGGTACATTCATATAAAAAACTTGATGCTAATGAGGCCAAAGTAATAACACGAAATATCATGAATTCGTAAAGCTGGTCATTGTTGGCGAATATATATCAAATTAAGATAATCTTGTTGTATGATGCAAAACAAGATAAAATGTGGTTGCCTGTTACTTTGAGCAGAGGAGACCTACTATAGTATATTTTCGAGAATACTTCGGCACGTTACAAAGTTAGCAATGAAGTTTTCTTTTCGCTCGATATGACTTATAATAAGAGCCAAACCTTTCTCTGGGGGAATTAATAAAAGAGTGTTGGATAAAGCACGTGGGACCATTTGCTCACTCGAGATTGGCTCTTCGAGTCAGGAACAGTCAAGGACGTGAATCAAACCCTAATAATAAGACTGTTTACACATTCTATTTTTTTCTATCGTTTACAAATTACCGTATACTTTACTAGGATAAGCATTGTAAGTGTACTCATTTTACCAATAGCCAAAAACATATTAGGATAACCAAAAGCTTATCGTTTTTGTTTGTAATTTAAGCAGATAAACGTTTTGGAGATTACAGATTTTGAGTGTGAGCTATTTATTTACTTATATTCGAAGGCACATGGACAATAGAATAAATACATAGCTTACTTGTTTGTATTAGTGATATACACCAACTTGGTCGGCTTTACACCATCACAATTTCTTTGAAATACTAGTAGTAGATTTTCAACAATTTAAAATCGTATTATTGGACCATATAAACCTAAACTCTAAGTTCGGATAAACAAAATAAAATATGAATAAACAAAACATCACTACTTAGTAGGCAAAACAGTCTAGCTAGGCACTTCTATGTAAAATGATGTAACAGGAACTTTATATTTTCAACCGTTATCTATTTGTTTCATCCAAATGAAGAATACACAACAACAAAAACACTATAAAAAAAAAAAAAAAAAAAAAAAAAAAAAAAAGGGGGAAATAGCACTAAATAACAATAAAAAAACCTATAATTAAGAAACTGACCATATCAGATGATAGGTTAGAGTACACACCGTGTAACCTATAATACTGACAAAATTACCCTCCATCTTCTTTTTCATGTTTTTGTCGTCTCTGTGTCTCTTGCATCGACCTCATCGGAAGCTTCAAAGCTTAAACAAGAAATATGAGCGAATGGAACAGCAAATATGAGCTTAGACAAAAAAAGTAACCCCATAGCTTAACCATTAATTTGCGAACAGATCTCATATGAGCAACAATCATCACATTAAAACAAAGATGGGTTTAGGTTTCATAAAATTGATGTCGCTGTCATTTGTTTTCTCCCGCTCCCGTAAACTTTTCCCAATCACTCATAATTTTATTGTTCGTTAATTGTTGCCACAGTGAAGACAAACATAAATAGATCTATATCAATGATGGAAAGACATTCGTAAAACCAGTTATTCGTTTTTATTTTTCACAATTTTTTTTAAAGTGTAACTAGATGAAACAATTATTTTCTGTTTTTCTTTGAAGGATATTTTTGTCCTAAAAAGTTAGCATTGGTTATTCACTCTATTTTCGTTCTCCTATAGCTATAAGCTTAATAAAGTGTGCCAATATGGATACTGAGCAAATTCTCCCAAAAAAAAAACACTATCCAATAGCTGAGTCAACGCTCGTAAGCTAAACAACGCTCATAAGAATAGTGTTTTATTCTTACCAATCAATATTTAGTTATTAACATTTTGTTGTATAATTTTTTTTTGTCCAGATCAAAAATTTAGTAATCTATTAATTTTTTTTGTCCATATTAAATCTTAACTTGCGAGTTACGGCCAAAAATAAAACAAAAATCAACGCACTTGGTTTTCTTCGCTTCAGGGAAAAAATAGCCGCAAAAAAAACAAACTCAAGGGGTATAATCGTCAATAAATATAGCAACCAGGCAGAAATCGACAAACGAATGGTACTTCTGTAAATAATCTGACTTTGGGAGGCTAATAATTAAAACCTGTCCAATGGGAGTAGTGAAATCAGAGAAAAACCTTAGTCCATCCAATCAATCAATTTTAATGTGTTTTTTCCGTTTAATTATTTTACATATTTAAATAGCTGAGTGATGCCTATTTAATTAAATTAATCTTTTCCTTTTGAAAATATTAAGAGAGAGAAAAAAAAAAGTTTGTTGGAAAGAGTCTTCTTCTTCTCTCTCTCTCTCTCTCTCTCTCTCTCTCTCTCTCTCTTCTTATCTCCCTCCAAAGACGGCGACTGAAAATCTATCTTCTTCTTCCTTCTCATTTTCTTTACATTAAAGTTTTCATCGAAGGATCTCGCCGGAAAACTTCTCTGAGAGAGCAGATCTCCGACGAGTCGCAGAGGATTACTTCAGAAGCTTAATCTTACTTTTTTAAAAGCTTTTTTGACTTTTTCTCTCTCTACGCGACGCATTTGGTATCATTCTCTGCCGTTACCGGACGCAAAAGGTGTAGACAGATTTATAAATCGTGGCTTAAACGGAGGCAGAAGAAGAGATGGATGATAACGGAATTGAAAACTCGGCGAATCCGAATCTGGAGAGAGAGTATATCAGAAGGCACCATAAGCATGAGCTTTCGGAGAATCAGT